AGATTTCAAGGCAAGCAAATGGTTTTGATGCCCTCTCTGTGGAACATCATGCCCTGTTCTATAAGCCGAGGGTTTACACCGAATCATTTACTCTACTTTACCCTGTCCTAAAGGCCATGGCAATGCTAAAACCACCAGGAACAACAGTCTTTTTCATCTCCTATATTCTCCTACCACAAAGGAAACAATGTACAAAACTTGCATGAGAGCAGCATACTCAATTCTTCTGAATCACCTTGTCCTTTTTATTCTAGGGGAAATTTATCTGAATTCACTTCTAAGCTGGTTGATGAAGACATTTGCGAGTCGACTGACTATTAATGTACTATTTGATCACCTTCAAAGCAGCTCTGTATGACACTCATCTTATCTTTGATGATTTACTCTGATGATGTAGCAACTTCCTAAACCCCAAAGCATGGTAGAAAGATCCAGAGGCCCATTTTGAGCTGATGCATTATGCTGGAACTATAAGTCTACATTTGAGAAAGAAAGATTTCCATGTTGTTGCTATAGATTCTCAGCCAAAGAATGTCCCATGTTGATTATATCAGCACATCCCAAGTGGTATATAACAAGCAGGATGGCTATGCAAAAACAAAGATCCACTGAATGAAACAGTGGTGGGCCTGTTGCAGCCCTCCATGGCTTTCTTGGCTCAGCTTTTCAAAGCAGAGGAAGCTCCAGGCGCAAAAAAAAAAAGAAGGAAAGAAAGAAAGGGGCTCTTCCAGACCATCTCAGCTTTCTATAGTGTACTGGACACCTATAAATATAACAAAATGCCTGAACTTCCTCACAAAACATACTCTTTTTTTAAAGTTGATATTTCCTTTGGACCCAACAGGAACAGCTGTATAAACTAATGACCACTCTGTGCACTGCACTGTGCCAAATGAGTTTAAACAATCAGGTAATTTATATCTGTTTTGTATTTCATTCTTTTTATTAAAGGAGTAGTTCACCCAAAATAGAAAATGTGCTTAAATTTACTCAACTTCAGGTCAAGATAGGTAGATTAGTTTTGGAACAGATTTGGAGAAATTTTGCATTAAGTCACTTGCTCACCAATGGATCCTCTGCAGTGAATGGGTGTCGTCAGGATGAGAGTCCAAATAGGATAGGATAGAGGACTTAATGGTTTAGAAGTGAATGTCTAATGATGAATGTCTTAATGATGGATTAATTAATGGACTGTAGTGGTGTGGAATCGTGGATTACTTTTGAATTATTGTGATGTTTTTATCAACTGATTGGACTCTCTTTCCGACAGCACCCATTCACTGCAGATGATCCTTTGGTGAGCAAATTATAGAACGCTACATTTTCTCCAAATCTGTTCTGGTGAAGAAACTCATGTGCATCTTGGATGGCCTGAGGATATCTGCTTCGTCATGCCTGGAGCTGATCCGTGCTGGTCGCTGAGGAAATACATCAACTTTGCGCTGTGGATCGCCGGATCGGCTTTCACCGTGGACGAAGCGGAGTCCAGCCCGGGGTCATCACATGTGGTTGCCGCAAGCCCTCCGGACGCTCCTTCGTCGAATCCGCCGGCCGTGCCTTTCTCAAGCCCGCCACCTCTGCTCACTCTAGCCCTCCAGCCGTTCCTCACTCTAGCCCCCGGCCTCTGCTCACTCTAGGCTGCCGCCGCTCACTCTAGCCCGCCGTGTGTGACGCTGTGTTTCGCTTTGAAAACGAAACTACTTTGTTTGGCTTTCCAAAAATGGACACGACTAGAAATCAGTGGTTAAGTTGTATTTACAACACTGTTCCAGAACACTTCAACCCAAATATTCAGATGTGTGCAGCACATTTTATGGAGGACTGTTTCCTGATCCTGGTAGAGTAGACTACAATGCCGGCTGTTCTGACTTAGAGACTGTAAGTAAGTTTTTTATATTTAAAGAGTTTTTATATTTTATATATTTAAAGCGAGTTTTTTGAGCAGTGTAGAGTAGTGCTTGTTGTTTGTCATTTCTCCGATCACAAATGCAGACATGGTTTTATGTTTACGCGGCGCGATGCAACACAACGCATAAATAATATTTAACACCTTGCTTTTCAGAACGATGAGCTTTGTAAAAATCGACACGTTTCAGAAAGGCGGGGCATAGAGGAGAAACAATAATGTACAGTATGTGGAAAATAATGTGTTTTTTTAACCTTAAACCGCATAAACACATTTCATTACACCAAATACACAAAATAATGTTATTTTTAGCAACATCATATGACCCTTTTAATATCCGTCATTATTGCATTTCCTTTTTTTTTCCTTCTATATTTCTAGTGCTCCCTTATTTTATTCTCTATATGAGTCTTTTTGTATATTGTGACCTCTGTAAAGCTTTTTGTAAACAAAACATTTTAAAATATGCTATATAATTCAGGTTTTAATTATTTACATATAAGTTATAGTCTTTAAATTCCCTGAATATAACACATACTGATATGTTAACCAATGCACTTCCATCAAGCAGCATAGTTTGTTATTATTTCAATATACGCTCTAATGTTTACCAGGTGTTTGTGATGCATTCCTAATCCTGCACCTGGCAACTGATGTAAGGGCATCCTAGAGGGAATCTGCATTTGCCCGAAAGGCTGTTCTAGTTTAAGTATAAGCTGTTCCTGTAAAACAGTAGCTCTTTTTCATAAGACACGCAAAAATGACAAGACAGAAACAGCACATAAAATCCATACAGTATACTTAAAGGTTTAATCTAAACACCTCGTCTCTCACTACTTCAGAAATGGATTCACTGCCATTCAGCGAAATGTGAGAAGATTCCTGAAGCTCAAATAATGTGGCAAAACATACTTCTGAAGTCATTAATTTGTTTTCCTTTTTTTATTAATTTATATCTTTTCTAGTCCTTTCTATCCTGCAGTGTTTTATTTTCAGGTTAAAATTTTGCTCCACATGGCTCACCAACAGAGCAAGATGAAGGCCTAAAGAGGTAAGCTGTTCTGGAGAAATCAAGAAAAATGGTAGAGAAGATCAAAGAACTTGAAAAATTGATTACTGTTTCAAAAGAAAAAGGTGATTCAGCCCTGGCCTCAGCAACCGTGTCTGAATGTGGTTTTCATTTCTAATTAAAATGAACTGCATTTTTACATTCTTAGGAACTAAATATGTTTGCAGATGGTGAGAAGTACTGTAACCAGCTGACCAAGCAGAAAATCAGCATGAAAGAACCGATATCCAGGGTATGAAAGAGATGTTAAAGGAGGACAAGAATGTTGCCAATGCTTAAAGTGCTCAAAACTAATGGACCTGAGAAGAGACTTGGAAGGATGGGAGTCGATTCTGGCAAAGTCAGAATAGGATAAACAGGTGAAAGCAATCAAATATTTTACTAAAATATGGTTGTAAATTCCCCACACAGAGGTCATGCAGCACAGACTTGGAAGATCTCAGCATTAAATTGAAGAAGATAATAGCTGCTTTTTTGGGGGGGTACCAGTAGAATATATTTTTTATGAATGTGATTAAAATACTTAGATTTCAGTTCCATGCAGAGCGACTATTAAAAAATGGAGTCTGAAATGTGAGGAGCTGCAGACAGACCTTGAAAGCTATCAGAAGGAATGCCATTTCTAGATATACAAGCTCAGGATTGCTTATGAGGAGTTCCTTGATCATCTGGAATCTGTTAGAAAAGATAAAAAGTAATTTCTGGTATTGCAGGCTCTCAGAGAATTTTTAAAACTCCTTATACAAACATCAATTAGTATCAGTGACAACTGAACTAAATGTTCAAACTAGTGCTTTCAAATGATTAATCGTGATTAAATCACACCCAAAATCAAAGTTTTTGTTTACATAATATATGTGTGTGTACTATGTATATTTATTATGTGTATATAGATACACACACATACAGTATATATTTTGAAAATACATGTATTTACATGTATATATTTATATAATTTATATTATATATAAATATATTTATTATATAAACAGCATATTTTACAGAAATATATACATGCATGTGTGTGTATTTATATGTACATAATAAATATACACAGAACACACACATATATTATGTAAACAAAAACTTTGATTTTGGATTAATCGCAATTAATCGTTTGACAGCACTAGTTCAAACACACGGATATGAGTTTCTAATCACATTTTTATCTTCAAAAAATATGGGTTTTTTTCAACATCAGTGTAACCTTTTTTTCCCCCAAAACTGCAGAAGGAAGAAACATCAGAGTACAATAGATTTCCTCTAAGCTAGCCTGGAGGAAGAGGTCAGAGGTCATGCTGAAGCTCAGAGGACTAATGCTGCCTTCACGTGCTATCGGAAATTTCCTAATTCCTATTTATGAAGTCGTGATTACAAGCTTGTCGTATTCATGTGCTTTAATGTCGGAAATAATAAAATGTAGCATCCCATTGGTTGACTATCATAAACATTCACCACGCCACACATGCAGTTTGCTGACAATTCTGGAATTTTGGTAAAATACATGCTTATTTCACTGCTTATAAAACATACAATATGCTTCGAATGATCGTTCATATCTAGCCTATAAATACACTACTTTAGCGACAAGACAAAGGGATGTATTTGTTGTGAGAACAGCATTGACAGCAGCAATGGTTGTCCCCTCCACCATGTTTAAAGACATGACCCGCCCAACTCGGAAACTCTGGTATCAAAATTATTTCCGAATTTCCCAGAAGTAAATACGACTTGAGAGGCGTTCACGTCTAATTTCCGATTAGGAAACTCGTATTTACGATAATTCCGATAGCACGTGAAGGCAGCTTAAGAAGAAAATGGATTCAGACTTGAATAAAATGGAGATGCAGCAGGACAATGGCACCAAAAACAATGGTTGACCTTCAAGAGACTGTAAGAGCAGATCTAAGCTCATCAGAATTATAATTTTTTTTAATCAACTTTGGTCCCACTTGAGTATGAAATTGAGATTTGTATGAACAGGGAGCTATTTAGCCTCGAACCAGACGGTGACTGAAATCAAGGATGTGTGCAGTGGGTTGGAAGCCTCTAAACCTGCCAGGAAACTTGTTGAGCAAGAGCTGGTGGACACCACTGAGTGTCATAATAAGCTCAATGTGTAGGTATATGCCAGCCTCAGACAGTTGTGGATAAATGTTTAAAAATGTGAAAAGTGCATCCTTTTTTCTTGTTTTTGACCCGTGTGAAAGAGGAAATGGGAAATGGACAGCTCATTGAGGTAGCAAACAGGATGCAGAATCTTAATTTGACATTTGAATTTAACAAAGTAGTATTAAAATGGAAATGGAATGCAATTTAAATTTATGTTTGAAATGCCAGCTGTAGAAATCGGTATTTAATTTACAGACGTTTTGAAGTTTGGGGTCGGTAAGGTTTTTTTTCAAAATGCATTTGAAGGTTCTTATGCTCATCAAAGCTGCATTTATTTGATCAAAAATGTGATGTCAAAGCTGTATTTTCAGCTTCATTACTCCAGTCTCCAGTGTCACATGATCCTTCAGAAATCATTCTAACATGCTGATTTGCTGCTCAAGAAATGTTTCTTCTTAGTTGTGCTGCTTCTTAAGTTCAAAAGAACAGCATTTATTTGAAATATAAATCGTTTGTAACAATATAAATGTCTTTACTTTCCCTTTTTATCAATTTGATGCAGAATGAAAGTTTTAATTTATTAAAAAAATTTACTGACCACAAGCTTTTCAATGGTAGTGTAGCCTATGCATATATGTAACATTTAAAATGCTGCCCAGCATATGCTGACAACTAATTTGGCCTTTACAGACGTTTTGAAGTTTGGGGTCGGTAAGGTTTTTTTTCAAAATGAATTTGAAGGTTCTTATGCTCATCAAAGCTGCATTTATTTGATCAAAAATGTGATGTCAAAGCTGTATTTTCAGCTTCATTACTCCAGTCTCCAGTGTCACATGATCCTTCAGAAATCATTCTAACATGCTGATTTGCTGCTCAAGAAATGTTTCTTCTTAGTTGTGCTGCTTCTTAAGTTCAAAAGAACAGCATTTATTTGAAATATAAATCGTTTGTAACAATATAAATGTCTTTACTTTCCCTTTTTATCAATTTGATGCAGAATGAAAGTTTTAATTTATTAAAAAAAATTTACTGACCACAAGCTTTTCAATGGTAGTGTAGCCTATGCATATATGTAACATTTAAAATGCTGCCCAGCATCTGCTGACAACTAATTTGGCCTTGAATATACTGTAGAATTATCAAAGTGGCAGAATTCATCCCACATGAATCAAAGTCAGGGAGAGCAATGTACAAGAAAAGGACTATTAAGATCTTTCGAACAAAAAATGTCAAGAAAACCACACTATGATATTGCACAGATATATTAAAGGGATAGTTCACCCAAAAAATGTTTTATTCTGTCATTAATTACTCACCCTCATGTTGATCCATACCCCTAAGACCTTCTCTCATCTTCAAAACACAAAATAAGATATTTTTGATGAAGTCTGAGAGCTCTCAGACCCTCCATAGACAGCAATGCAACTGAAATGTTCCCAGGTCTAGAAACGTAGCAAGGACATGGGTAAAATAGTGTTCTGAAGATGAACGAAGGTCTTGTGGGTTTGGATCAACATGACAGTGAGTAATCCATGATAGAATTTTCATTTTGGGTGAACTGTCCCTTTAAGGGCTATAATACAATAAAACGATCAATCTTATCCCGCCTAAGATCAAAATCAATCTTATCCCGCCTAAGATCAAAATCTGCACAGCCCTTTGAACCGTGGCCTGCTCATACAGTGCCAGCCCTCACTATTTGTCTTCTGAAAACTGAATGACTTGCGCTGTGAGTGCACACGGACACGCCCACCATTTGCCCTGCGTACGCATGCGCGCTGAGCTGCGTGCCATTTCCTGGATTCCTTGACAGGCCCAAATCAGGGAGTGAGAAGAGAGCAGCCGGAGTGAATTCGTGTCGACTGTCCAGAGTCCGCGAATTCAAGTCCGTCTACCAGGTGAACACCCGAGAGCCAACATCCTTGCGAACATTTCTTCAAGAAGCGGAGCATCGGTTCAGGTAAATGAGGCCCGTGTCATGCCTTTTTCCGACAGCAGGGAGCGGACTGAGCCGGCATCTTGAGCAAGGCCTTCCTTATCCTCAAATCTAACCGACCGCGAACATTTCTGTAAATTCACTCGCGTTATAACAGTGTTCACGGTTGTATAAGGTAATAAGACCTTTATCTTTAAACCCGGAGTCACTTTTCCGGCTTTCTGCGTAATGTTTACTGGCATGTACTCTGTTTTCGCGTTAGCTGTCGGCTAATGTAGCAGGCAACAGAAGCCTGTGGCATCAGATATTGATGATCCGCCTCACCCACGCCCTGAAACCGGGAACTGGCAGCCGTCATCTGGTTTTGCCGGTTGAACAAGTAATTTTTGCTTTAGTATATGATTACAGACAAAAAAACTGTGCAGATTTAGTTGTGGACATAACACTGATGTATGTGATTTAGACCCGGCTTGCCAGTTTGTCAGTGCTGGTTTTCATCGTTTCTGACACGAATTAAGCTATTTATCAACTAAATCCAGAGTGCATTATTATCCACGACTGCGAGTTTGATACTTTAAAAAAAAAAGTAAACTCAAAATAAGAATGTAACTAACATAAGTATGTAAATTAACATGCGTTTCAAACTAAATGTGTTAAGATAGTTCCTATACGTGTTCTCTAGAAGTAAAATAGGGAGTGGAGCGCGACTCATATCCGTTTGCTACTTTGAGTCTGAAAATGATTGGTAGGGCACAGTTGATATGTTGGGCTACACTGATTGATTTATCGCTGAAGTCTTATAACTGTATATATAATTTTTTACATTTTTTTTAGGTGGGTTAGTAAACACATCAAGAAGCCCATCCGTTCAACTGTCCTCAGTTTAGACTGGCATCCAAATAATGTGCTTCTGGCAGCTGGGTCATGTGACTTCAAATGCAGGTGAGTCTGCATATTGAAGCTTGTTAACCCTTAATGCAAATGTCAAAAATAAACTTTTTGTTAGTGCTCTGAATCATATTTGCATGTTTATTTCTTAGGGTATTCTCTGCATACATCAAGGAGGTGGATGAGAAACCAGCTCCAACCCCATGGGGGTCCAAGATGCCCTTTGGGCAGGTGATGTCAGAGTTTGGCGGGGCAGGAAGTGGAGGATGGGTTCACAGCGTCTGTTTCTCAGCCAGTGGGAACAGACTGGCTTGGGTCAGCCATGACAGCACCGTCACTGTAGTGGACCCCACAATAAGCTCAACGTGAGTATTGGAAATGGTTGGTGTGTTTAGAAAAAAAAAAACTGTTATGATTTGTCGATAAGAGACTTTTTGTAATACATCATGCTTGTTAATGACTAGAGATAGACCGATATATCGATTTACAGGTATTTTGCCTGATATTTAAGCATTTTACAATAATCGGATATCGGTTTTGTAATATCGGATTCACCGATAAATGCCGCCATCTTGTGGATGTTTTGAGAATTGCGTGCAGGATCACCATTTCAGCGCATCTGAGGGGAAACAAGACAACAACGGCGTGCACGGGTACTTGATTTACTGTAGTTAGTAAATTTTATTTAACATAACAGCCATTAATGCACAAATTAGATGTATTATATAAATGCCTGATATGCAGTCATAGACAAACCGTGCTGTCAGCAGGCATTTCATAATCTAGAAGGACAAAACCATTATTAGTAATTCTGATATAACATGCCAGTTGAGAAATGCAATAAAATACGATGTTTTGTTTGTTATATTCCAATATTCCAGAGAATATTTTTCAGTCAATTAACATTATCCATTTAATTATTCTTGACTCTAGCTATTAAACAGCTTATAAACCTACTAAAACTGTAGTTTAAAATGAAGTTGATATGACTCCTGTCCTTTATTTATTTTCTCCATTTGAAAACATTAGACATTCTACATTTATTTTGCTTATTGTTAATATTAGTGTTGCTGCTTATGCTTTAAATAAAATGTTTTTTTATTGTTGTAATGTGAAGATTAAATTTAACATGAAAGACTGTTAATTTTCAACACTTTTTTTAAGATGACTGGAAGGAGGAAAAACTCAGTCATTTATTTACTTTATAACAGTAAATAAATATCGGTTCCGCATATCGGTTATCGGGCACATAAACATGCAAATAATTGGTATCGGTTATAAAATATCAGTATCGATTGATCACTATTAATGACTAATAGCACACTTTTGTTTTGCAGGCCAAGCCAGTTGAAGACAGAATATCTTGCTCTTCTGAGTGTGACTTTTGTTTCTGAGAACAACATTGTGGCAGCAGTAAGAGCTTTTACTTTTTTTATTGGTTGAAACGTTTTTTTTTGTGCTGTACTTTAGAGGCCATTGCCTTTTTTCAGGACCTAATGTAGAGTTTTTTTTCCATCAGGGTCACGATTGCTGCCCTATGCTGTTCAGTTTTGATGATGGTGGAAACTTGACCTTCATATCCAAGTTGGACATTCCAAAGCAGAGCATCCAGCGCAACATTTCTGCCATGGAACGCTTCCGCAACATGGATAAGAGGGCCACCACTGAGGACCGCAATAGCACCCTAGAAACCCTGCATCAGAACAGCATCACGTAGGGCGAAAATTATATATACACTACCAAATTGTAAATTTCGTGGTTAGTAAGACTTTTTTTTTTAATTGAAGAAATTAATTCAATTAATCAAAAATGACAAAGACATTTACAATGTTGCAAAAGATTTCTATTTCAAATAAATACTGTTCTTTTGAACTTTCTATTCATCAAAAAATCCTGGTTTCCACAAATATATTAAGCAGCACAAAATAAGAAATGTTACTTAACCTGCAAATCAGCATATTAGAATAATTTCTGAAGGATCATGTGGCACTGAAGACTGGAGTAATGACTGCTAAAAATTCAGCTTTGCCATCAGAAGAATACATTATTTTAAAACATTAAAAGTTTCACAGTATTACTGTCTTTTTTTTACTGTATTGATCAAATAAATGCAGCCTTTGTGAGCATAAGAGACTTTAAAAAATATTTAAAGTCTTACTGACCCCTAACTTTGCATATAAATTATCATCATTATTATAAATATTGTGCTATAACTTTTCTTTTTAACTTTGTAGCCAAGTGTCTATATATGAAGGAGACAAAAGAGATTGTCGCAAATTCTGCACTACAGGAATTGACGGAGCAATGACCATATGGGATTTCAAGGTTTGCATTTAATATTTTCGAAATTACACCAAACTTTTCATGCCAGTTTAACTTGCTTCTGTTTTATTCCTTGGTTAACTAGAACTATGACCATGTTTACTCTTTCCACAGACCTTAGAGTCTTCAATCCAAGGCCTGCGGATCATGTAAAGCTTACACGAACTAGCATGACACAGCACAAGCAATGCAGCTCGAAGACTAACGAGGAGATTTCCGATAACACTTCTGAAGGTTTTTAAGTAAAAGAAAAGAAAAAAAAAAAGCACTGAGCAGTGGTGTGAACTGATGTATGACACTCTTAAAAAAGGAAAAACACTAATGGAAAAAGGGGTTAGGATCTTTGTTTGTTTTTTTTAAGAAGAAAAAAAATCTATGCCAAAGCTGGCACCCCAGCAGTGTGTGATGGTTGATCAAAATGTTCTGGGTCTCCAGGGGAACCGGAAAGGAGTTAAATTAAAAGGAGAATTTTATGTAAATGATCTGCTAGAAATAAATGACGTATACTACACAACATTTGCAAATGTCGTCTCTTTCTGTTTGATTCAATGCCTTTGTCACTGACAGGAAACATCTAGGCTTTCAAATGCTACTAGATACACACAGCTCTCAGATTGCAACCCAAGTTTGGGTTATACCGTTTTTTTATGTAACAGTTCCTGTAAATTATTAGTGCACATAAAGATTCCAATAAGTTAGTGACCATAAATCAGCTTTGCAGACGGAGGGTTTAAAAACATGCAAGCAAAAGAATGTGAAGGGGAGTTGAACTGCAAACCTTCCTCACCAGCAGACAGCCGCCCACACAAGGAAGTGGTTATATGTTTCTAACAGGGAAGGGGAAGTAGTGCATATTTGGAGAGAAAAACGACTAAGGAAATACTTTAGTTCATTCAGAGCAAAGCCAGCGTTTGTGTTGACTGCTCAGAGTCCACGAACTCGGGCTTCTGTTGCAGACTTTGTCAATCCCCCCCACATCTCAGTTTTTTTACGGTTTCCTGGGTAAGTAGAAAAACATGGTTTTGTTTATCTGAATTTGGGAGATTTTTTTCAGATGTGAAGCAGTCTGTAGTCTCGGAATGCTGGTGTTTGTGCCTCACTAACATGACAACTAGAAAGCATGTTTCAGTATTTCGGTGACTTTTTAGCTGAAGTGAGAGATTTTACATGGGCTACCTCACATTGCTGCAAACTCCCTCAGCAGAGAGAACCGTTATGTTTTAAACGGAAACTATGATAGATGGTAGAGGTGTTTTTCTTGTAAGTGGAGCATCTGGCTTTGTCACATTCCTTTCTGGTCTGGTTTTAATTTATTACAAACATTGTGGAGAAAAAAATACTTACTTGCTGTTACAAATGCAAAACCATTTTTGTTTTAAGTATAATTGAGAGAAGTCAAAAACCCCGGAAAGAATTTTAATAGGAAGTTCTAAACTTCTCCATTTTAGTAGCATGTCTACGGAAGTGAACAAGCAGTCATGATGCAGTAGTTTGATTAAGCATCATTTTTACCATTTCATCTCAAAATTACTTCAAATTTAATTTGCAGGAAAAAGCAGCCATGTCTTATCACAGTTTTCTCCTTGAACCTATCAGCTGCCATGCCTGGAACAAGGACCGAACTCGTAAGTTCTCACACTCGCAGCATCTCTTACGTCTTTGGAGCAGTTCCCAGTGTCTAGGGCTAAAGATATCCTTCAGCATCTGTACTGTGTAACCATGTGGGAGCATCACTGCTGAATACACAAATGTTTCTGTCTCCAAAGCTCATCTGATCATGAATCAAATGTGTCTTTTGAGGATTCTTCTGAAGAGAGTTCTGATGAGACTTAAACTGTGCACTGATTTTCATGAACTAATGTTTAACATTTCCTCACAGAGATGGTCTTGTTACCCAAATTTTATTAGACATTTATTAGAGTTTTAAATTGTCCTGTGAACGCCCATTTGGCCCTTTAGAGCCCATCAGGCTCCTTACTGAATGTCTATACTGTTCTGACGAAAGCTACATTTAGGATGAAAAGCTGCATATACTTCTGGAAATGTACAAATGCATACAAGAACATGCATGCCACATGCACACTTGTTTTATGTGGTTTATGATGGCAGTTAGAATCCTTCAGCATCAAAGTGAAGTGCTCTCAAAAATCCAAATAATTCAGGACTATGTTTTATTTAAGAGTTTAGAAAACTGCCTTAAAAGAGCAAAAATATGAAGTCAAAGTTGTGTCTTTTCACTGCTGCCGCCCTGCTTTTCTTTCCATGCTGATGAGAGAAGCAGTAATGACTAATTCCCCCCAGACTTCCTGTTTTACCATGAATGGTGCTTTGTTGCTGATGCCGTACGTCTTCAGCAGACCGCAGAGCAACAGCAGGGAAACGAGACGGCTGAGAATGACTTTTAGGTTTAACTGCTGCTGTTAAAAACATATACGTTTTCTAGCTCACCTATGAAAAGTGTGGGAGCACATCTGCTGTAGCGGGAAATAGAGGCTCTGTCAGAATCCAGCATTGGCCTGTTCCCAATACCCACACTTGCAGCCTTTGCATTTGACCACTTGCTGCTTATGTGACATACTTGCAATATTAGGCCCAAGTGTTCACGTTAGTGTGTAGACTGCAAGTTTATATATAGAACATAACATGCAAGTAAACTTTTTTACAGAGCTTAAATTATAGTTTTAGATGTTCAGATAGATTGCACTTTAAAATAAATTTATTAATGTATGTTCAGTAGTCCCTACTAATGCACAATTTAATTCTGGAGCTTCTAATTAAGTTGCAAACTGCGGTGGAAAACATTTGACAAATTACACATCTCTGCACCAATAAAATAAACACTTTACATTTTCTACCAAATGATATGCATTATCTAATTAATTTAACTTACACTAGAAAATTTTCCTCGACATCTAGCAAATGATTTGATGCACATTTGATAGCCTCAAATACTGCTCCGAAGTAGTGTGGGTATTGGGACAGGCCCATTTTATTTAACACTATTCTGCAGAAACATACTATGTTTGCAGGCTTAAACCCAGCTTCTTAGCATGCCATAATTAATATTAGGGTGTTGCAGGTGGTTGCCAGGGTGTTTTGGGTAGTTCTGCACTGCTCCAAAAGAGCAAAGTGGGGTCCATTTCAATGATAGTCTATGGGAAATTTTCACCTACTTTTTTGTACGCCAGCCTAAATATATCCCACCATCATAAATCCAACCTCTCCTCAACAATCCACACAGTTATACGGATATTATTTATCATTTCAGTTATGTTGGCCATAGGAAAGTGGCACTAATAAACCTTGAATAAACAAGTACTTGCTAATAAAATATTTAGGCTGTTATCCAATCCATCAAGCCAAAGTATTTTTGTCATATGTTTGTGTTAAATCTTTTATTCACTGGATTCCTGTTTTCTTTAGAAATTGCACTGTGTCCTAATAACCATGAAGTCCATATCTACAAGAAAGACGGAAGCAACTGGAACAAAATCCATGTGCTGAAGGAGCACAATGGCCAGGTTACTGGTAAGTCTAGAAGGTTCATCTGACCTACACAGCCACAAAGCATTCATGTGACCAACGCCATCTCATCCAGGCCGTTTCCTCATCACCCAGGCATTGACTGGGCCCCAGAGAGCAATCGTATTGTGACCTGCGGCACTGACCGTAATGCATATGTCTGGACCCTAAAGGGAGATGCATGGAAGCCCACCCTGGTCATTCTCAGGATCAACCGTGCCGCCCGCTGTGTGAAATGGTCTCCTAAAGAAAACAAGTTTGCAGTGGGCAGTGGCTCACGTCTGATCTCAGTCTGCTATTTTGAGCAGGATAATGACTGGTGAGTATCATCACATCAGACATCAGAGGAGAAATGGATGGATAGTGAGCCTTTTCTGGCAGAGATGTTCATCTACTTAAGTTATGAGGCAGATGGGCTCTCTCTTATTTTTACATGACCCGGTTTAATGCAGCAGAGGATGCTGGTACTCACCAACAGCGTTGAATCTTTAGTCGTCACATGCAGTCTTTTCCAAGTGCGACAATGCTGGAGTACAGGTTACACGTTAACTCATGTGATGTGATATCATTGAGCCGATCAAGTGACCATTAAACTCGAAATATTTAAGCCTTCGAGCTGTTGGTGTGAATTCCAGTCGTAGCCTAGGCATTCATACTCTTGCTGCTAGAATGTGATATTGCTTTAATACAGTAAACACTAAGTTAATAATTAATCGCTTTTTTGACACAAGTCACAAGAACCATTTCATTGGTGGAGGGAGAATAGACAAACAAAGGCAGAGCGGAATTGACCAATAAATTCGTTGGTGGCGGTGCTAAATGAAGCTTTGAAGGAATCGGTTTAATGAATGATTCTATGACTCACTCATTTGTTTCATCCCTGAATCACTCAGTGCTTTTGAATGATTCAGTTGAATTAATGATTTAATGACTTGCTCATACATACAGCTACTTGTTTAGTTCCTAAATTATTATTATTTTAAATATAATCAGTTATGTTAATGGACTCCATACTAGCATACTACTGTTATTATTTCTGCCATGCAAAGATATGGCAAATGTATTAAGATGGTTGTATGCTGTTCAGAATTCAGTAGCCATCACATGTGCTGAATTCGGAACAAAGACTACAGAAATATATAACATAATCCTTGAAAGGGTCTTTGATTCAGAGCCACATACTACCATACTACTCTTATTATTTCTGCTGTGGAAAGATATGGTAAAAGTAGTACATATGATAGTATGCTGTTCTGAATTCAGCAAAAGTCACTTGTTTAGTTCCTGAATGAAGAATCACCTCACAAAGATGCAACCTTCTAATTGAGAAGCATCCTGTGGTTTGAGCAAATTATATGAATGAATGATTCTCTGACTCACTTATAAAGATACTTGTCACTTGTCACCACCCACTGGCGAAACTATGTAACCTGCAGAAATGACAGAGAAATACTATAGTGAAAATCCCAGTGCTGACTGTTATACCAACACTCTTGCTTAATTTGAGGACCAGAACTAAAAAAAGGTGCTCAAGGGCACCTCAGTCGTGGTATTGAAGGTGGAGAGAGCACTGTACATTCACTCCCCCCTCCAGAACAAGACTCGAACCCACAACCTTTGGGTTACGAGTCCGACTCTTAACCATTAGGCGACGACTTCTTCTAGGCCTACCAAATTGTATTATCATGAAGTCCATATCTACAAGAAGGATGGAAACAACTGGAGCAAAATCCATGTGCTGAAGGAGCACAATGGCCAGGTTACTGGTAAGTCTAGAAGGTTCATCTGACCTACACAGCCACAAAGCATTCATGTGACCAACGCCATCTCATCCAGGCCGTTTCCTCATCACCCAGGCATTGACTGGGCCCCAGAGAGCAATCGTATTGTGACCTGCGGCACTGACCGTAATGCATATGTCTGGACCCTAAAGGGAGATGCATGGAAGCCCACCCTGGTCATTCTCAGGATCAACCGTGCCGCCCGCTGTGTGAAATGGTCTCCTAAAGAAAACAAGTTTGCAGTGGGCAGTGGCTCACGTCTGATCTCAGTCTGCTATTTTGAGCAGGATAATGACTGGTGAGTATCATCACATCAGACATCAGAGGAGAAATGGATGGATAGTGAGCCTTTTCTGGCAGAGATGTTCATCTACTTAAGTTATGAGGCAGATGGGCTCTCTCTTATTTTTACATGACCCGGTTTAATGCAGCAGAGGATGCTGGTACTCACCAACAGCGTTGAATCTTTAGTCGTCACATGCAGTCTTTTCCAAGTGCGACAATGCTGGAGTACAGGTTACACGTTAACTCATGTGATGTGATATCATTGAGCCGATCAAGTGACCATTAAACTCGAAATATTTAAGCCTTCGAGCTGTTGGTGTGAATTCCAGTCGTAGCCTAGGCATTCATACTCTTGCTGCTAGAATGTGATATTGCTTTAATACAGTAAACACTAAGTTAATAATTAATCGCTTTTTTGACACAAGTCACAAGAACCATTTCATTGGTGGAGGGAGAATAGACAAACAAAGGCAGAGCGGAATTGACCAATAAATTCGTTGGTGGCGGTGCTAAATGAAGCTTTGAAGGAATCGGTTTAATGAATGATTCTATGACTCACTCATTTGTTTCATCCCTGAATCACTCAGTGCTTTTGAATGATTCAGTTGAATTAATGATTTAATGACTTGCTCATACATACAGCTACTTGTTTAGTTCCTAAATTATTATTATTTTAAATATAATCAGTTATGTTAATGGACTCCATACTAGCATACTACTGTTATTATTTCTGCCATGCAAAGATATGGCAAATGTATTAAGATGGTTGTATGCTGTTCAGAATTCAGTAGCCATCACATGTGCTGAATTCGGAACAAAGACTACAGAAATATATAACATAATCCTTGAAAGGGTCTTTGATTCAGAGCCACATACTACCATACTACTCTTATTATTTCTGCTGTGGAAAGATATGGTAAAAGTAGTACATATGATAGTATGCTGTTCTGAATTCAGCAAAAGTCACTTGTTTAGTTCCTGAATGAAGAATCACCTCACAAAGATACAACCTTCTAATTGAGAAGCATCCTGTGGTTTGAGCAAATTATATGAATGAATGATTCTCTGACTCACTTATAAAGATACATGTCACTTGTCACCACCCACTGGCGAAACTATGTAACCTGCAGAAATGACAGAGAAATACTATAGTGAAAATCCCAGTGCTGACCAACACTCTTGCTTAATTTGAGGACCAGAACTAAAAAAAGGTGCTCAAGGGCACCTCAGTCGTGGTATTGAAGGTGGAGAGAGCACTGTACATTCACTCCCCCCTCCAGAACAAGACTCGAACCCACAACCTTTGGGTTACGAGTCCGACTCTTAACCATTAGGCGACGACTTCTTCTAGGCCTACCAAATTGTATTATGAGCTACATTTGATCATTTCAGCAGGCATTCATTACTGTCAAATAACACAGACTAATCAATTGTTTTTATTGGGTGTCTCTAAGATGCTTAAAGTTATGTCTCATTACGCTAGGTGGGTGTGCAAGCACATTAAAAAGCCCATCCGCTCCACCATCCTTTGTTTGGACTGGCACCCCAATAACATCCTTTTGGCAGCTGGATCATGTGACTTTAAATGCAGGTTAGGTTAAATCTTATCTGCACTATTATGTCTCTTTTATGAATATTGCTGTTATATGAACTTCCCATTTTTTAATTCCCCCATCCAGGATCTTTTCTGCTTACATAAAGGAAGTAGAAGAGAAGCCTGCTCCAACAGCTTGGGGCTCTAAAATGCCCTTTGGGGAGGTCATGTTCGAATCTACTGGAACCTCAGGTTGGGTACACAGTGTTTGTTTCTCGGACAGCGGGAATCGTGTAGCCTGGGCCAGCCATGACAGCACCGTGGCAGTGGCTGAGGGAGGAAAGACTGCTGTGTGAGTATTGCCTTTCAAATCTGGCCCTGCACGCACTTGCCTTTAGCACCGTGGCAGTGGCTGAGGGAGGAAAGACTGCTGTGTGAGTATTGCCTTTCAAATCTGGCCCTGCACAAACTTGCCTTTAAAAACCATTAAAAAAAAAATCATATTTACCAAATCATTTCCTTTCATCTCGCCAGCTGCGCTAGTCTGACTTCAGAAACCTTGCCTCTTCTGTGTGTGACTTTCATTACTGAGAACAGCCTAGTGGCAGCTGTAAGTATCTTCAGATGTCAGGCCTTGATGCCAAAGTAATCTGTTTAGATTGTCCCCTCATTTTCATATCAAAGGAAGTAGAAGAGAAGCCTGCTCCAACAGCTTGGGGCTCTAAAATGCCCTTTGGGGAGGTCATGTTCGAATCTACTGGAACCTCAGGTTGGGCACACAGTGTTTGTTTCTCGGACAGCGGGAATCGTGTAGCCTGGGCCAGCCATGACAGCACCGTGGCAGTGGCTGAGGGAGGAAAGACTGCTGTGTGAGTATTGCCTTTCAAATCTGGCCCTGCACAAACTTGCCTTTAAAAACCATTAAAAAAAAAATCATATTTACCAAATCATTTCCTTTCATCTCGCCAGCTGCGCTAGTCTGACTTCAGAAACCTTGCCTCTTCTGTGTGTGACTTTCATTACTGAGAACAGCCTAGTGGCAGCTGTAAGTATCTTCAGATGTCAGGCCTTGATGCCAAAGTAATCTGTTTAGATTGTCCCCTCATTTTCATATCTTTTTCAGGGCCATGACTGCTACCCTGTGTTGTTTGTCTATGATTCGAACAAAGCAGCCATGTCTTTTGGAGGGAAACTCGACGTGCCCAAACAGAGTGCTCAGAAGGGCATGACAGCCAGAGAACGCTTCCAGAACCTGGATAAGAAAGCCACCGCTGACAGCAAAGAAGCTGTCCTGGAGTCTGTGCACAAGAACAGCATTAGGTACGGCCTATTCTTTCAGAAGTCTTTCAGCTTTGTTCCTTTAAGTTCAAAGTTTGTCATTTCTGATCCACAGTGGCATTAAAAACAAGTTTCAAACACCCTCTGCCTTTTATTGGTGAAATAGCTCCACCCCCAAAATCACAGTATGGACTGTTAAATATTAAAATGATATAATAATAGATACAATTCTGTTTGCTGCCACTAGTGGTGCTGAAAATATTTTAAAATCGAAACATTAATATACAACAATAGACATTATGATCTGTTAATGCAATTGTTTTGATCACTTCTTAGCCAAATCTCAATTCTTAATGGAGGAAAAGCACAGTGTGCCAAATTCTGCACCACTGGTATGGATGGAGGCATGGCTATTTGGGATGTAAAGGTACTTGTACTGGTACTTAATTTGTTAGCAGTAGTCAAAAATGCAAAAAGATGATTATAATTATTTAGTTAATTCTGTGTTTCAGACCCTTGAATCTGCAATGAAGGACCTCAAGATTGTCTAGAAATAGCAGACATCAGAACAAAATGTCTTCCGTTCATATTGCTTGCCTTTTAATTTTTTTTAATGCAGTTGTCTATACTTTTTTCCAAGATTATGTTTCGATTAACAGTTTTAGTGGTTTAAGGATTTTATACTGATGAAATTTAGCAAACTGGTTCTGGATGAACCAAAAACTGAATTTTGTCTGAATGTATATGCTGGTCATAGATTGCTTTTCTTGAATTAGTGCAGGTACCTTGCATTGGAGTTTTAATAAACTGTAACTGAAACTAATAAAGTAAACATGATTACTTGCTGAGGTATAACATGCTGAATGCTTCCTGTGTTAACTCAATTTCAATGCAATTCTATGTAATATTTATGAGATGTATAATGAACATAAAAGATCAGTACACCTCTCTCTAAACTACATTTAAAAAGGAATGGAATTTTCAACAGAGGATTTATTTAATCTTTATATGGAACAATTTACATTTTATACAAAAATCATTAGAAAACAGATTAAAGTGGCCTTGGGGGATTAGGGCTCATTGGCTGATGAGAACATAAGTCAAATCATTACTGATGTTGACATTTGTTGATATGCAACATCAAAACATGCTCAAGAGACAATCATGCATAAAAATGATCCCAAGATCCTTTAGAGCTCAGAGAATTCAGGCAGTATCTCTGAATGCCTATACTGTTTGCTTGCTCGGGGTGCTTATTTGGACACACTGGCTAACATAGCTATTGTGAATATTTGGTAATCACATTCATAAACCCTGGTCCTCTCGTTTTTCAAAAGAACCCTGGATATCACATTAAACACTTGACCTGTTCTGGTTCAACTGCCAGACCATGTGACCTGTTTGTTCAGACTGCAGTCCACAGGGATGTCTGAGAGAACATACCCCATTTGTAAGCTAAATGCTGCAACCTTTTACTAAAGATTGATGTTTTAGTGAAATATATTCTGATTTTCCTCTTTGCAAAGGACAAGGCCTCCAAAATAGGGACCTAGCGAAAATGAGGCTCATGAGCAATCATCAGCTGCTGGTATTAAGCATAAATCAAAGAGACAGGGCATGACTTCAACTTACTTCCTTCATTCATTCTTTCATTACAAATAAAACAAAATGTCCTAGAAACAAGTTGATGACTAACTGCCTCTTGAACCCACGTTCATCACAGACTCAAATCAAATCGATACATTGACAAATCACTACTGAGGTTACTTAAATGTTTGTAACTTAAAATAATAAAAAATAATTCAAAGAAATCAGGCCATATGAAGATACTAGGGGTAATTCAAAGCCAAAAAGAAAGTTTTGATCGTTTACCCATAATGTGGCATGGGATTCATTAAAAGAGAGTATTGTAAAGCATGTGTGCGTAGATGCAGTAATTCAAGATAAAACTAAAAACAACTCTCTCAGCCTGTTAAAACCACTGTTCAAACAGTAATTGTAACCAGGCCGTCATGTTAACACGTCATATACATTGTTATTACAGGACAATATTCACATCTTGGTGCCATCACACAGCCACAGATGTTGATGATTGGTAAGGGACTTCAACAACGCCGACACTGCACAGTCGTGTGGTGGGTGACGTAGCAGGCGGCGCAAGCCAGTTCTCTTTCAATCACAATAAAAAAAAGACACAAATGCACAAACACACAAGTGTTTGTCAAAGTTCAAGAGGAGAAATGGCCAGCAAACACATCAGAACCATCCACATGAAAGCAAAGGTTTTCTAGAATTTCTAATCTTGGCACATGTACATGCAAAGCTAAGAAACGGGACACCTGCAGCTTGGATTTCATATTTTGGTCTGATTAAGGACATAACTGGGCATTAAAAAAAAAAGAAAAAAAAAAAGGAAAGCAACGAAAAATTCACCAGGTTTTATAAAGCCACAAGGCTGGGGGAAGGGAAACATCTATACGCAACAACAGACAGAAAAAGGCTACAGCTAGGCTTGCTTTAAAATGATCTCTCTTTTAATCCCTTTCTCTATCAGGTCACACATGTCCATAGCAGCACCAGAGGAGGAAACCCCCCTCTGCAATGTCACTCAGTCGGTTCCGTCTTCCACCCAAGGCGCGACTGGCAGCAGCTCAGTCTGTTTCCAGGATTAACGGAGGCTGCTCGTTCTCTTCGTCCAGGTGCAGGGTGTTCATGTCATCCTCCACTCCAGCACCCCCTACCGCCCCCTGATCCTCAGTGTAACCTGAGCCAATGAAAACCATTCAAGGCCATTTGAACATTTTCATTCTTTGAGTGAAAATGAAAGCTTCTTACCTTTGGCAACAGCAGCACTGTAGGTCTGTGCCACAAGTGGCCGGTCGTGAGCTGTTTGCTCAAGAATTTCATTCGCTGGCTCTGCACTTCCATCTAACCTAAAGGACGAAACACATTTACATGAGGAATTAAATCATTGTCAATCTAAAACTATTTTTTAGATAGAAACAATATGATACAATACAAACGGTTTAATGCAATCCTTAAATTAGAAATGCAGTTTCTACTGCACACAAACAAACAAAAACAAAAACCTAAATTTAAACAATTTTTTTTTTAAATGTTCCAACTAAGAGAAAAAGAAAAAGAAAATCACAGCCAATCAGAAAATAGTAGACATTTAGCATTCATCTATGGAGTGGGATTAAGGACCAATGAGATTTCAGTGTGGTTGGGATTACCCAGCACAACGCATCAAAACTGTTAGTCCTGTTTTAGGTTCACAGTAAATTGTACAGGATACTCAGTAACCAACAAAAATATTCTATGTATATACACACATTGCCGTTCAGAATTTTGGGGTCACTTAAGATATTTTTTCTGAAAGAAATTAATGCTTTTATTTTAATTGATCCCAAGTGGCAGTAAAGGCATTAATGCTTTTCTTTTAAACTTTCTATTTTTCAAAGAATCCTGAAAAACATGATCACCGTTTCCACAAAATTAACTTTTCAATATTGATAAGAAGCGTTTCCAACCAAACCAGCACATTAGACCGATTTCTGAAGCATCCCGCTTTGATATTTCACAGGAATAAATTACTTTGCCATCGCAGGAATGAATTGCGTTTTAAAATATTTTCAAATATAAAACAGTTATTTTAAATTGTAATTATATTTCACAATAATCCTGTTTTTATGTATATCTGATCAAATAAACACAGCCTATTTGAGCATAAGAGATGTTTTCAGAAACCTTTAAAAAAAACAACCCCTTAACAACCCCAAACTTTTACGATGGTATATAGACTAGTAGTCTGATAGATTGTTTTAGCTTGGTGACATTGGATCTCACTTATGCTGTTTCATTAGTGTGCACTCTCCCCCCTCCTGTGGGTCCAGATTGTATAGGTAAAGATAGCCATCTGCTGCAGCCACCAGCAGGCGTGGGATCTTTTGGATTCTAGAAACCAATCACAAGCAAGATAATCACAGACACATCTATCCTGATAGCAGCTACAGTCACTCTCTAGATTGAATGGTTTTCTCACATGGCCAGAGCGCAGATGTTCTTGTGACCTGAAAAGGGCAGTCTGACTGTAGCAAATGCCCTTCCTTGAGAAAACATCTCTGTTACGTGTGCAGGCAGATATGTTGTGGAGGCCATCAGTACTTTCCCAAAGTATCCAGTCCAAGTAGTGGGCTCCTCTTGAGGCCTAAGATGGAAAAACACGAGTTGGTTGCAAAATAACAAATGAAAACGAAAGCTATGCCTATGTTCTGTTTTTAGTGCAGCTTGCAGACCTGTTTTCAGAAGGAGGCTTTATCTTGCTCAAACAAGGTTTTAATCAATAAAAATAAACAGGATTTTGTATTTGAGATATGAGAAGAAGGTCTGAAAACCACTTATTTCAGTGGGCATCATTACACTGACTTCTCTCTCTGGGTCTCCAGCTTAAAAATATGAACCGTCTCCGTGTTGCTTGAGGCAGACAGATAGAGTCCCTCCATACTGAAGGCAAGGGAACAGATGCTCACACATCTGTCGAGGGATAATCAAAGAAAATACATTGTTTTCACTCTGTGTGCTTATTTTAATTCTTGGTGTTTTGTATCAATACAGTAATATAGTTTACTACCTCTTTACTCCCCTCCGGAACTCAAAGAGCTTTTGGCCCTCTGGAATGGAGAACACTCGGATTACAGTGCCCTAAATAATACCAAGAAAAGAGGGTTTCAAAAAATTTAACTTTTTAGGAAGGATACAAGAAACTAAAACTCTTGATCTATTATTCAGCACTTTAAAACTTGAAGGTCAATATGCAAACACTACCAATCAAAACAAAATAATACTTTTATTAATCAAGGACACATTAAAAAGTGACAGTCAAGATATTTATAATGTTGCAGATTATTCTATTCATCAAAGAAACAAAAAGAAGCAAGTCTTGAGCAGCAAATCAGCATATTAGAATGATTTCTGAAGGACCATGTGACACTGAAGACTGGAGTAATAATGCTGAAAATTCAGCTTTGCATCACAGGAATACATTACATAAATAAAAAAAAAGATATTTTAAATTCTAATAACTTTGCACAATGTTACTGCTTTTATTTTATTTTTAAATTAAATAAATGCAGCCTTGGTGAGCATAAGAAACTCCTTTCATAAACATAAAAAATTTAAAAAGTATCAACCCCAAACATTTGAATGGCAGTGCATATAATTAGAAAATATCATAAAAAATTGGAAAAACTGGAGCTACCATTCATTTTCATTATCAACCAAACAACTGTAGCCACTGTATTATAGTTTGAATGAGTGTCACACACACACAGCGCTCTACCTTCTCAGATGCTGTGGCCAATTTAGTGCCGCCTGCATCAAACGCCAGTGCTGCTAGCGGACTATCATGGGCAGGTATCATGTTAGCTGCCCTCTGGGGAGGAATATCACACATACAGACATACTGACCAACCCTGTTTAACACAATTCCGTAAAACCATAATTATGGCAACGGTTGAAACTGAACAGTACTTACCAGATTGACCGTGTCAAAAACTTGTACCTCTCCAATTGTTGCACTTCCCGGATAGGCCAAGTAACAGTTGTCATTACTGATTGACAGGGCACATAATCCTATAAAAGTTTAGTGACGTATTAATAATCACGAATAAAACATCTGTCTGGCTAATACTAATAACAGCAAGGTCATTAGTAACGAGTCGCCACATCATTTGCAAACCTATGCTTTCAGTTCCCCAAACATAAATAGAGCACTAGATCTTTCTGAAAGAAGAACCTGCTACATGTACTTCCCCAATAAAGTTTTGAAAAAACATCACACAAACAATGATGCCCTGATGGCATGCAGTGATACCCACCGGAAGGATTCGGAGGGGTCTCTCGAATGGTATGTAGTACTTTCATAT